TCCCAGCTGTTTTAATTTTTCCTTTACTTTCTTTGCTTTGGGGAGTGAGTCTTTAAAGATGTTTCTGAGATGTATGTCCTGTAGTGTTTTAGCTATATTTTCTATATTATCATATGTTTTATGATTTCATGTCATATGTTCAGTTCTGTTATCTAGTTTGAGTTGATATTTGTGTATAGTGTGAGGTAGTGGTCTAGTTTTATTCTTTTGCTTATGGTGATCCAGTTTTCCCAGCACCATTTATTGAACAAGATATCCTTGTTCCATTGTGTATTCTTTGCTCCTTTTTCAAAGATTAGTTGTCTGTATATGTGTGGCTTATTTCTGGGTTTTCTGTTTCATTGCTCTGTGTGTGGTGTCGTGTGCGGATTCACCAGAGACAGAGTAGGGAGCAGAACAGGCAGATTGATAAAGTACAGAGCTAAGGGTAGCAGCGGGCAGGTCAGGAGAGGACTGCCACGCCATGTGGGTCAGCTCCTTGGCTGGGGATCAACTCATGTTTCAGTGGCTTCAGAGAGCTTCATAATGCTGTACTTTAACCCATCATGCCACCAGGGAGAGCCTTGCATGTCTGTTTTTGTTCCAGTATCATACTATTTTAATTATTATGACTTTGTAGTATAGTTTGAAGTCAGGGAGTGTGACTTCATTCTCCTTTATTTTAGTCAGGAGAGCTTTGACTACAGTTCTTTTGTGGCTGCATATGAATTTCATCAATATTTGGTCTATTTCTTCGAAGAATGTCATTGAGATTTTTATTGAATATAATTGAATCTGTAAATTGCTTTTGGTAGGATGCCCATTTTGGTGATGTTGATTCTTTCCATCCATGAACAGGGAATATCTTTTCATTTCTTTGTGTCTTCTTGTATTTCTTTTAACAATGTTTTATAATTTTTCTTCACCTCATATTTTAGGTTTAGTCTTAAGTATTTGAATTTTTTTGTTTCAATTTTAAAAGAGATTTTTTTTTTATTTCTTCAGATTGATTGTATATATGGAGGCTATTGATTTTTATGTGTTGATTTTGTCTCATGCTACTTTCCTAATTGGGTTGATTGCTTTGATTAGTTTTTCTGTGGCGTTTTTAGGGTTCTCTATCTATGTATATTCTCATATCTGCAAATAGTGATAGTTTCACTTCTTTCCCTATTTGAATTCTTTGTATGCTTTTGTCTTATTGTTCTGGCTAGGACTTTTAGTATTAGATTGAAATGCAGTGTTAAGAGTGGACATCCTTGTTTCTAATTTTTTTCAAAGATTTATTTATTTATGCATATAGAACTAGGGTACAGGCCAGAAGTGCTGGGGGATGAGAGACAGAGTGTGGAACATGACAAGCAGATTGATGAAGTACACTGCTGAGGCGAACAGCAGGAAGGTCAGGAGAGGTCTGCTGCATCTTATGAGTCACCTCGCTGGCCAGGAATCGAACTCGTGCTGCAGTGGCTGCATATAGCTTCCTAGTCCTGTGCTTTAACTTGTGCCACTAACGAGGGCCTTTGTTCCTGAACTTAAGGGAAATATAGTCTTTCAGCTTTATACCATTGCAAATAATACTGGCTGTGGTTTGCTGTATCATGTGGTTTGCTTTTTATCATGTTAAAGTTATGTTCCTTCTATTTTAAGAATTTCAAGGGCCTTCTGAACACTGAACACACTGATATGATCTTATGGTTTTTATTTTTCTTTTTGTTCATGTGTTGGATTACATTAATTGATTTTTGGATGTTGAACTATCCTTGTGCTCCTGGAATAAATCCCCCTTGATCATGGTATGTTACCCTTTGGTGTATTGTTGGATTCTGTTGGCCATGAGGATTTTGCATCAGTGTTCATTAGGGAGATTGGCTTGTAGTTCTCTTTTTCTTGTGATTCCTTTGTCTGGTTTTGGTATTAGTGTAATGTTGGCTTCATAGAATGTATTTGGTAGTATTCCTTCTTTCTCAGTTTTTGAAGGAGTTTGTGTAAGATAGGCACTAGTTCATCCCTGAACATTTGGTAGAATTCATTTGTGACACCGTCTGGTTCTGGGCTTTTGTTTTGATTACTATTTCAATTTCATTGCTTGTAATTGTTCTATTTAGGTGTTCAGTTTCTTCTTTATCTAGCTTTGGATGATCATATAGTTACAGGAATTTGTCCATCTCTTCTAGATTGTTGAACTTGTTTGCATATAAATATTCATAGTAATTTCTGATTCTTTTGATTTCTTTTGAGTCTGTTGTAATGTCTCCTTTTTTATTTATGATCCTATTTACTTGTGTTTTCTCCCATTTTTGCTTTGTGAACCAGGCTAGAGATTTATCTACTTTGTTTATTTTGTCTAAGAACCAAGTTTTGGTTTCATGGATCTTTTGATTGTTTTTTAAATTTCTATTTAGTTTATTTCTGCTTTGATTTTTATTATTTCCTTTCCTTGGCTGTCTTTTTGTTGTTGTTGTTCTCTAGTTCATTGAGATGGGAGATTATGTTGTTTCTTTGAGTTCATTCTTTTTTCTTGACATGTGCCTGTATTGCTATAAACTGTCCCCTTATTACTGCTTTTGCTGCATCCCATACATTCTGGAAAGTGGTGTCTTCATTGTCACTCAGCTCAAAATATTTTTTAATTCCTTCATTGATCTCCTCTTTATCCAGTGGTCTTCCAGTAGGGTGGGTTTTAATTTCCATGTAGTGGGAGGTTCCTTGCTTTCCTTTTGTGATTTATTTCTAGTTTGATGTCTTAATGATCAGAGGAGATAGCTGGAATGAGTTTGATCATAATGTACCTGTTGATGTTTGTCTTGTGGCCCAATAAGTGATTGATTCTAGAGAATGATCCATGCTCAGTTGAGAAGAATGTGTATTTGGAACTTTTTGCGTGCAGTGTCCTAAAGATGTCGGTTAAATCCATGAGACCTAGGTCTTCGTGTAATAGTCTAGTGCCTTTATTTTTTGTCTTGTTGATCTGTCCATTGGTGAGAAAAGAGTGTTGAAGTCTCCTACTGTGTATGTATTTTCTGTAGTGTTTTATTTTCAGAGCTGATTATAATTTTCTTATATATTTTGGTGCTCTTTCATTTGATGAGTATATGTTGATGAGTATTGTATCTTCCTGATGTATTGTCCCCTTAATCATAATATGGTGTCCATCTATTTCTCTTTTTACCTACTTTAGTTTAAAGTCTATTTCATCTGATATAAATATAGTTGTTCCTACCTTATTTTTTTTTTGATTCATTTGCTTGTAGGATTTTTTCCCAACCTTTTACATTCAGTCTATGTTTAGCTTTTGTAGTGAAATGTATTTCCTGGAGACAGCAGAAGAAGCTCATTGTGAGCACTGATGGCAATAGTAGCAGTCACTTTATTTTATACAGGTGAACACATGTCCAGTCTGTCTGCAAAGACTCTTCTCACTGACTACTGGTCCTAGGGCTTTTGTAAGCCTCTAGGACGGGCTTTTCTTGGCGTTTCTCTTGCTCTACCCTAGCTTTTTTGGTAGTTCCTTCTCCTCATCCCAGCTCTTCAGGCCAGAACCTCTTGTATCATTCATAATAATGTTTCTTCTAGCTTTTGTGATTCGACTTCCTAAATTGTGTCTTCTCTATCCCACTACCACTGCCGCATCTGGTTCCTAGCATCTGCTTGTTTGATAATAGTTTTATTGAGACATACTTGAAATATCAGATAGTTCCCCTGTAAAAGGTAAACAACTCAGTGGTTTTAAGTATATTCAGAGTTATGTATCATCACCACAGCCACTTTTAGAATGTTCATTCACTTAAGAAAGAAACCTTATTCCTATCAGTAAGTCATTCCTCATTTTGTCTCTCCACAACCCACTAATTTGCTTTATGTTTTTATGGATTTGCCTGTTCTGGATACTTCATATAAATGGGTTCAGTATTATGTGGACCTTTGTGACAGACTTCATTCATTTAGCAAATTTTTATTGTTTTGTTAATTTATTTGTTAATATTTCAAGGTTCATCAAGTTTATAGCCTGTGTCCGTACTTTAGTCTGTTTTACAACTGAGTAATATCTGTTGCATAGACAAAGCCCATCTTATCCATTTATCAGCTGATAGACATTTAGGTTGTTTCTATTTTAAAACTGTTATGAATATATTGCTATTAACATTTGTGAACAAGTTTTAGTGTGGACATGTTTTCATTTATCTTGGTTAGAGTGGAATTTCTGGTTTGTGCAATATATTCATTTTGAGCTACTGACAAGACTAGTTTCCATGATAACTACCTTTTATATCAGTAATATATGATATGTGAGGCTCTAATTTCTCCGTATCCTCATCAGTCCTGTCTTTTTTTTTTTTTGCAGACTTCAAACTGATCTCCTTCTAATTTTTTCCTTTATATTTATAAAATTTTGTTTTCCAAAATACTAACAGTGACTTCCTTGTTGCTGACAGAATAAAGTTCATAGTTCCTTGACACAGTACTCTTCTAGTCTCCATGCTCATAACCTCCTCAGAGATGCCCACATTGCTGCTTTTTTTGTTCCCTGTCAATCTGTGCTCCCTCTGCCTCTTTGCTTGACCATCCTCCACAGCAATGCTGTCCATTCCTCAAAGCTTACTACCAGGACTTTCTCTTTCACCTTCCTTGGTCCCTTTGAATGAATTGTTCATTCAACCCTTAGGTGTTGCTTGTGTTTCTCATTTCATTCTGTTTTTGAATAAAATAGTTGCTGATTGGGATCTATTCTCTATGCTGAACCCTGAGTCCTGGAGGCAAGAATTGGGTCATTCTTTTATATGAGAGTGTCCCTGGTACCTGGCGACTTGCTCTGCAAGGGCAGCTGCCCTGGCCTCAAGAGACTAGGGGCTTCCTGGGTGATGGAACACACAGCTACCCTGAGGCAGTTACTCACCAGGCAATAATGCCTTTTGATGGTTGAGCTCTGTGAGTTTGGGAACTGATTTCTTTGGGCGTTTGGTCTGTAGTCACTGTGACTCTTCATGGCCCTCTCTCAGTCTCTCTTGTTTCCTGTCTAGGACACTTCTGGACTGACACAGTGATGGGAAGCAGTCATAAACAGCGTCACTAAGCTCTCTGAGTATGGTAAGCCTATTTGCTGGCATCACTGTTCTTTTGTTATTTTACTCCTGGAGATTATGGGTATTTTTTGGGTGAACCCTGAAGAATCTCTTTGGTGAGCTTTCCTTCTGGAGAGCTGCTAGCACATTTGAATGTGAATGCTTGACCTTCTGTTGAAGTAGCTTGCAGGGCCTGGTCTCACTTGCTGGATATTTAACAGGTGTTGTTGGAATTTATTCTTCTGAAGTCTGTGCTATACTGGGCTATTGCTAGGGTGTCCCCAGCCTCTATACCTTTCCAATAGACATTATCCAAAAAAAAAATGCTTTCTGAATGTATTGATGTGGTTCTCCTCAACTTTGTTTCTTTTTTTTTCCCTCTGTATTTGTTGTTTATTCTGTACATTATGAGAAGGCTGTAACTGTTTACAGCAGCTTATATTTTGGAACATTGTTGTATTTATTGTAAGTTATTGAAGAGAAAAATGATATCTCAACTAAAAAGAACTCTTTTCTTCCCTCAAACCCCTATTAGATTCGAATTGCAGCCTTAAATGCCAGCTCCACAGTTGAAGATGACCATGAAGGAAGCTTTAAAAGTCATAAAACCCAGACAAAGGAGGCCCAGGTACATAATTATAATCTTCCTCTGCAGGTAGACCTTGCTTCTCATAGATGCTTTGCTTTCTGTGGATGGCACCTCATTTTAATATATTTAAATATCTCCCTAATGGGATTTTAGAGAAAAATCCAATTTTCCTTTGGGAAATGTTGCCAGCTTTTCAGCTCATGGTAAACCTACTTTACTGAGAGAGCCTCATAGTAAAGAGAAATTCTCTATTTTGTGTACATATTTTTGGGCTACTTCAGGCTTTGGGCCCATTTCTTCAGTGGGAATGACTTTCCATGTGGACAATTCTTTGTGCAGGACTTGGGGGTTGGCACACCCAGAGCAAGGTAGCATACTAATGGTAGGTGCTACATCAATTTCCCCTCTTGTGTTAGTCTCGCTTTCCAACATTACAAGGCCATTGAGAAAGCTATCTTGACTTGGTCTCTCACTGATGGTTGGAGGGAAAGCAGATTTGACTCCAGCTCTCTAAGTTCTTGATCTTTCTACCATCAAACTTTCACCACTTACATTTCAGCCTGTCTGCCATCCATCTCTTCATCCATGTTTTACTTTTGTATAACAAAAGTTTTATTCCTGTCTTTGTTTTCCCTGGAATAAACATATATCTTCCTCTTCACAGGAGAAACTG